GAACAGATTGTTCTTTCCTAAGTGGAGTACATTGTATTTGTCCTTATTGAATTTTGTCCTCTTTACCTCAGACCATTTCTCCAGTTTGTCCAGATCATTTTACATTTTGACGCTACCTGCCAAAGCACTTGCAACCTTTCCAGCTTGATATCATCTGCAAATTTTATAAGTGTATCAATCGCAAATTGATCACCATGGGATCTGGTCCCATATTTGAACAATCTGCTTGGAACTCATTGCCTTTTATGGAATGTTTTAAACCATCGTCAGTGTGGCTGAGTCTTTCTCCCTTAATTTGGAAGTACTTAAAATATTATATCCTAGGATTTGGGAGTGAAATTTTCATTTGAAGTCCTCTGATTATGGCTTAAGATATATCTGTTGTAGGATGACACTTTGCTTCTGGAATTTAATATAGCATTTAAAAAAGAATTATTTATTTATTTATTTACAGAATTCTACCAAGTTTACAAATCCTTGTCATGTAAATAGCACAGACTAAATGAGGGCAATCCCAGAAGGGAGCTTTTATATGTAAAAGTGTGCAGTAATATAATCCGCAGAATTCTGTTTACCAGGTAAATTGCAGAGCAAGCCTCTTTGTGCTACTTAGTTTGTTTTTAAGGTGCCACAGACCTTTGAGTGAAACTTCTGATTACCCACATTCATTACCAGTATGCAGGGCTATGAAATGTTAACATGGAAAAAAAAATTGGACGAAGAAATCGCATGTGAGTTTACTTTATCCAAGTGCTGAATAAATGGTAACCATTATCTAAATATCTGGTCATTCTCAGTCTATTTTGCTGAGTAAGTAATGGCTACACTGATTCTTCAAAAACTACAACCTTTCATATTTTTTTAAAAAAATCTGTTTTTCTTCTTCCAGTGTGAGGCTATCTGTAGCAGATGAGAGGTCAATTCTTCATTCTCTGTGTGTGACCATTCCCACTGGGCAGTCCCAGGAGGATTATCAAAGGGGCATTTGGTAATAAATAGCCAACAATTCATATAATTGAGTTTCAATATTTTAATACTGTCTGCAAGCTGTTGGAGCCAGTCTCAGGGCTGCTCTGATCTGTAAGTAAATGCCCTCCAAGGGATATTACCATCCCGATATGCTCCCCTTTCTGGGGATAAGGAAAATGATGGAGGTGGACATAGGCACACATGCTGGCTCTTCCCCATCTGAGGATTCCACCACAGCCGTAGTATGAGAGTTTTACAGCCTTCTGCATGGACAGAGCTGTGGACAAGATCTGCCCAAAGCTGGTTCCAAATTCTGACCAGATTTCAGCATGGGCATGGGAAATATGGTTGCAGGGAGTGCTTTAGCTGGTTTTATGTGGGGCTCCTGGCCCTGCACCCTGCTCCCCAGCCACTGGCTTGTGCATAAAAGCTGGAGTTGTTTCCTGCGCCTATGTCCTGCTCTTGGACTGCTGTCTACACTCTGCTCCCCAGACCTTCACCTCGCCTGGGGCTTAGGTTCTCAGCCACTAGCCCTGTGCCTGGTCCCATCCCCCATTCCCAGGTCTTGCCCCACTCTTCGCCTTGTGCCCAAGGCTCTGCTCTGGGGCCTGGGACCCACTTCCTGACTGCAAGCTCCATGCCTGGGGCCCTGTGTCTGGCCCCTATTACCAAGGCTCCTCTCACATTGCCTCTGCTCTTGGCCCCTTATGTGGGATCCCAGCTGATGGCCTCTGTGCCATGCTCAGTTGCTGGCCCCACCCCTTCCCGCAACTGAGGCCTTCCTTCCTTATCTTTATGTGGGTTCCTGCTTCTCAGAGACAGAGCCCTGCTCCCATACTCAGTAGGGGTGGTTTAGAGTGAACACGGAGTTTTTCACTACTAAAATTCTTCCAGCTCTGTATTTCAGAGAATGTTGAGATTTGGGATTTCGTCTCAGTCCGTTAGAGATGTTAGCCATTTGTGATTTTTGCACCTATCTGTAAAGGCAGGATCAATAATTAATTGCCTATTGAATGCTCTGTTCATTAAAGTAAAATCATAAATCACTGAAGATGGAACAGGTTCTTTAACAATCATTCAATAATGCATCCTCCTCAACAGCATGGTTATTTAGAGAAAATTAAAATGCCTGTCATAATTTCTATGCCCCTTTTTATGTCTCTCATCTAAACAATGGTATTTCTGCAGTGCCCATACTGTCATATTTGAGTGTCATCGGGTTTTGCTTATGTGTATATAATCTAAATGTGGCATAAGAAATGTATATAAAGCTACTAGCTAAGATGTAACTACGTAATAAGCAACAGTGGTATCTAATATATATTTTAAATTTTGAAGCATTTGACTTTGTAGCTGTCAAACCAGTTATTCGCTTTTCATTTTTAATACTAATTTCTAATGATTTATTTAACTGTACTTTGTAATTCTGGTCATAGACTTGCAGAGACATCTGCTGGGTATTCTGAGATTAGAACAGCAATAGGTACTTTGCTAGATACTTTGCAATTAAATGTTAGACTGTATTACACTGTTGCACCTCTAGGTGGCACCATGCACAACGTCATACAAACTGTAGTGGTTAGTTTATCTGTCAGAAGTGGCAGGAGATCTTTTCACTGTCCATGATAGATAGTCAAATGAAATGATGTTCCTCTGATGTAGAGAGCCAGTCAAGCCCATTTGAACCACTTAATGACCTGTAGGAGTGTGTGGATATCAGAGAATCATCAGACCAGCAGGACCTCAAGAAGTCATCTAGTCCAGTCCCCTGCACTCATGGCAGGACTAAACATTATCTAGACCACCCCTGAGAGGTGTTCATCTAAATTGCTTTTAAAAATCTTGAATGATGGAGATTCCACAATCTCCTAAAATAATTTATTCCAGTGCGAAACTACCCTGCCAGGAAGTTTTTTCTAATGTCTAGCCTAAACCTTGCTTGCTGCAATTTAAACCCATAGCTTCCTGTCTTATCCTCAAAATTAAGGAGAATATTTTTTTCTCCCTCCTTTTTGTAACAACCTTTTATGTACTTGAAAACTATTCTCATGTCCCCTCCTCCCTACTTTTCCAGATTAAATCCAGATTTTTTTTCAAACTTCCCTCATTGGACATGTTTCTAGACCTTTAATAATTTTTGTTGCTCTTCTCTGGACTTCTTTTTTCTAATTTGTCCTCATCTTTCCTGTAGTGTGGTGTCCAGAATGGGACACAATACTCCAGCAGGGGTCTAATCAGCTCGAAGAAGAGTGGATGAATTACTTCTCATGTCTTGCTTAAAACATTGCTGCTAACACATCCCAGAATGATATTGGCTTTCTTTGCAGCAGTGTTACACTATGACCCCTAGATCTCTTTCTGTAGAACTCCTTCGTAGACAGTCACTTCCCATTCTGTATGCGTGAAAAGGATTGATCCTTTCCAAGTGGAGTACTTTGCATTTTTTCTTTATTGAACTTCATCCTATTTACTTCAGACCATTTCTCCAGAGTGTCCAGATTATTTTGAATTTTAATGCCATTCTCCAAAACACATGCAACTCTCCCTCCTCCCCCCCTCCCGCTTGGTATCATTTGCAGACTTTATAAGCATACTCTCAATGCCATTATCTAAATCATTGATGAAAATATTGAACTGAATTGAACCCAGAACTGATCCCACATGACCACACTCAATATGTCTTTCTAGCTTGATTCTAAATGACTGATAACTACTCCCTGTAATTTAAAGCCAATTCTTGTCTGTTTAGAAATCCTTTCTGGAAACAAAATGTACGATAATTCTTGATTGTAGCATTGGCAGAAATAATTTTGTTTATAATTGTAAAGAATCATGCAAATATTTATTTGCGAGCTCTTTTAAATTTTTCATTTATTGAAATTTTCGCCATTGTGGAAAATTACTGGGGGCCAAACAATACGTATTTAATGACAGTAGATGCTGATATTCAGAGAATTAAATCCTTATTATCATTAAAAGTACAAATGGCCATCATCAACTCTCAAAATATACAAAGTAAATATACTTACAATCTAAAAAGTTAGATAAATTAGATTAATTCATGGCGGTTAGGTCCATCAATGGCTATTAGCCAGGATGGGTAGGAATGGTGTCCCTACTCAGAAGCTGGGAATGGGCAACAGGGGATGGATCACTTGATGATTGCCTATTCTGCTCATTCCTTCTGGGGCACCTGGCTTTGGCCACTGCCATAAGACAAGATACTCGGCTAGATGGACCTTTGGTCTGACTAGTATATTTCTCTTAGTATTGCAGCATTTTTCTGTCTATGCATTTTGATTATTATCAATGTTGGTTTGTTTGTGTGTGTGTGTGAAATTGACATTTGCCAATAAAAATCAATTTTTTTGTAAAGTAGGAAGGAATTGCACCTTCATTTATGGCCCAGTTCAACTCCCATTTAATCTTTCCACTCACTTTGGTGGGAGCTGCAACTGGTCCTTACATAGGATCAATGTTTCTCAGATTAAATCACTGTAGACCCTGATCTGCTACTGATATCACATGAGAGCACCCAAAAGACTAGATTTGTTGTATAGGAAAGAGAGAAAGTGGATTAAAATGAAATAAAACAGTATCCACTAGAAATTAGCTGGGTAAGTGAAAACCCTGCAGTAATCCCGGAAAAGGTCATTTTGCTCTTAGACATAAGATTTTGGTACCAATTTTTTTGTCTGTGTGTAACTGGCAATATGGTATTGGGAAAATCATATTCTAAAGCTTGGGCATTTCTGCTAATATACAGAATGGGCCAAATCCACTTCCCTTGCAAATCACTGTAAATCACTATAATACCGTTGAAGTCAAGGAGACAAAGATTTCAATGGGGCTACGCTGATTTACTGCAGATTAATTATCTGGCCTAAAAAGCGCACAGGACTTTGTGCGTATCAAACTTCTGAAAGCATTAATAGGTATCTTTTCATCAATTATTTTAAAACGTTATTTACATTTTCCTTGGTAAATATTTTTACAGAGATTTTACATTCTATTTTGCATGTTTGTTTTAGCGGATTCGAGAGCTAGAAGACAAAATAGAACTTCAAAAGCGGCAACTCAAAGAAATAGAGGAGAAGGTAAATGTACTGAGCGACAGTGATACAACTTAAACCCTGATTAGTAATATAAGAACTCAGTTTGGAAATTTTACGTCACTCTTTAACTACCACCCTTTCCTTTCAATGTATAATTTTCTTCAGCTGCTTTAAGGAAGATACAGAGCACAGTGGAAATGCAATGTCATGTGCAGTCATTCAATTTGGATCATCTCTATTAATGTGTAAACTTTTCTGATTCAGATTTCAAAGAAACTTTCAAACTAACAAAGAACTACCATGCTCTTTGGGGTATGACTACATACATTTTTTTATCATTACATATCAAATGAAAGACAGCTCAGAATACCAAGTGATTATATTTTCGCTAACTGGGTATTGGAAAAAAAGATCTGATTAACACAGACTAGAGAGAGAAAGAGTCTGTTACCATAAATATGTTCTGGGAAACTCTGTACACCTGGGGAACCCCTCACCCTATTGGCTTCTGGGTACCTTCAGCCTTGAGATGTATCAGTGATGTATAATCTTGGATGATTCAGGTAGAGAAATGTTCTTATCCCCATCTTATGGCACTAGAGGCCCTGTTTTCAAATACATTTGCCCAAAATTAGGAAAACAAATTGCTATATATACTGTATTGTGAAGTGGGTGTTCAGGTGCCTAACTTTAGGCTCCCAAGTTTGGAAAACAGGGCCTTAAAAGACTGAGGAATTAATTCTGAGGCCAGGTTACTGTGTCTCCAAGACTTCCACTGAAGTCTTAGGGTCCTATGAATTCACACTCTAATTCACTCTCTATGAATTCTCACACTAATTTTCCCCAAGTTACACCAGAAGTCTGTGGCAAAGCTGAGAATACACCCAGTTCTATTTACCCATAGTCCTGCACCACAAAACTGTTCTTCTCCCTTATTTTATTGTGAGCAGAATTTGGCCCTCCATGGTTCATGCTGCCTATACTTTCCATATCTTATGCACTATATAAACTGAAAAAGCATGTGAATGTTAGCTTCATTTCTAATCTGCATGTAGTTATTTTGCCACCTTATTTTTTGGCTGTACATCAGATATGGAAAGAAAGTAGAAAGATCTGAAAAAAAGATGTAGAGTTGAAGGGGGTGTGTAGTCCAGATAAATGAGGTATACAAATCTACAGGTAGAAAACTAAATAATAGGTTTATATTTGGAGTCCTCTTAATGTCAGGTAAACTGGATGTGAACAATTGCTCAAGTTGTTTTAGAAGCTGATAACTAATGGAGAATGGAAAAGGTCAGAATCATAGAATCCTAGGGCTGGAAGAGACCTCAGGAGGTCATTGAGTCCAGCCCTCTGCCCAAAGCAGGACCAATCCCAGCTAAACCATCCCAGCCAGGGCTTTGTCAAGCCAGGACTTAAAAACCACTAGGGATGGAGATTCTACCACCTCCCTAGGGAACCCATTCCAGTACTTCACCACCCTCCTAGGCCGTGTCCAGACTCAGGGGTTTTTTCGGGAAAAGTAGCCTTTTCCCAAAAAAACTTCCCCTGCATCCAGACTCAAGCTGCGTTCTTTCGAAATTATTTCGAAAGAACGCGGCTTTTCTTTCGATGGCGGTAAGAAAAGTTCCTCTTTCGAAAGAAGGCGTTCTTCAATGTAAAGAGGCCGTCTTCGAAAGAGAGCATCCAGACTCGCTGGGTGCTCTCTTTCGAAAAAGCGGATTTCTCTTTTGAAAGATCCGCCTGCAGTCTAGACGCGATCTTTTGAAAGAGGCTCTTTCGAAAGAAGCCTGCAGTCTAGACATAGCCCTAGTGAAATAGTTTTTCCTAATATCCAACCTAGACCTCCCACATTGTAACTTGAGACCATTGCTCCTTGTTCTGCCATCCCTCACTACTGAGAACAGCTTCTCTCCATCCTCTGTGGAACCTCCCTCCAGGAAGTTGAAGGCTGCTGTCAAATCCGCCCCCTCCCCCACTCTTCTCTTCTGCAGACTAAATAAGCCCAATTCCCTCCTCATAGGTCATGCGTTCCAGCCCCCTAATCATTTTGGCCCTCTCCAGTGCATCCACATCCTTTCTATGTTGGGGGGTGGGGAGGGCAGAATTGGATGCAGTACTCCAGATGTGGTCTCAGCAGTGCCGAATAAAGGGGAAACAGATTTCATATTTATGGGAGTAATGTTGGAGGTAGGATATGCTCCTTAGGAGTAGAGATGTGTCAAATCAACACCATTGTTCCAAATACCATCATGCTTTGAAAAAATTCCTATGGTCTCAGATGACATCCAAAAGCTTTATCAGTGGGGTCTCCAGACATGTGAGGTCTCTGAACTGCAGGAGTCAACTCGTTCGGCAGGACTCAGCGGGGAGATGGAGAGTTAAAGTGCTTTGGCTAAGGCTTTTTAGCACTGGCTCTCAGCTAAATCCATTGGCCAAAACAGTTCCGTTCAATCACCTCAGCAGAAAGCCATGGCTAAAGCACTTGAGCTAACATGCCTCAGTCCTGCTGAGCCATGCTGTTGCAGATGGACTTAGAGAAGCTTACTGACAGTCCCTTTTCCAAACCTCATTTACCTGACCCACGCTATTGGCTGAAATGAGGTCAGACCAGCTCATGGGACATGACACTATGGATTATATAAACACACAATTATGTTACAAGAACTATTAAAGTTGCAAAGACAAACCAAAGTTAGGAAACACCACAGTTAAGATAGAATTTGCAATCTTAATTAGGTCCCCTCCTGGGTATTCATTACAATAGTAGTTAATTAGGTCATCAGTTATTTTTCTCACTGGACTCCATCTTCATTCAGTGAATGGAACTGCACTGGGGATGAATCAGTGGCTGTTGTCCCTGAGGAATCATGCCTCATTTATTTTAGAAGATGGAAGTGATGTAGTGAATGAGGAAGACATGGACAGAAGGGGAAAGGATGTACCATGATGAGGGAAGTTGAATGCTCCCTTGGAGAACTGGATTCTATCCCTATCTCTGCCACAGAGTTCCTATGTGATACTAGACATATTATTTAAACCAAACTTTTCAGAAGTGAACACTTACTGCCTATTCCTCATTTTCTGGGTGCCCCACTTGCAATTGTGGTTTGACTTGCCAAAAGTCAAGTCCCTGCTCCAAAATATGGTGCTAGAGCATTTAAAAGAAAAAGTCTCAAATTTTTCTAACATGGGTAAAATTTCTGCTAACCTTATTCTTGGCAATGACAGCTATTTTTGCTAACATTTTAAAAAACATTTATCTGGCCTAGACAACTAGCATAGAAAACTTGAACTCAAATGGCTAAAATTTCACAAAATTTGTAAGCAATAGAAAACAGGGTCTTACAATGGTAAGTGCTGAGCAAACAGTGTCACCTATTATAACAGTGGTTTTCAGATAAGTTTGATTTGCAAAAATGCATTTGTGCTATGTATACAAATTCAAGCCTTTTAGAAAAGCAAACAGTCCTTTTGCGGGGATTAAACTGAGTAATTAAACCTACAGGAGTGAGGTGTCACTTTCATTTAGCGGTACTGTAATTCCTACTTGAATTAGCCTAAATTGGTTTTGAGATGCTGCATTAAGAGAAAGGATTGGACATTACCTCCTCAGTCCCAGGAGTGGTGCTTTTTTTCCTCTAGACTTCACTTCGCTCTTCTTTAGGGGATAGGGTAGGGGATATTTTTCTCCAGGGGTTTTGAATTGAAAAGAAAGTATTTGCCAATAGTTACCAACCAGTGATGTGTGAGACAACCAAAGTAACACAGTGACATCTCAGCTATCATTATATTGTAACTATTTGCCAATGTTGGCTTTTCTAAAGTATCCACTCCAAGGTCATTCCACAATATTAGTATGAAAGAGGTGAGACAGCTGCCAGGCACAGCAAGAGTTAAAGAAAACCTGTGGTTTCAGCTAACTCCGTCCCATTATACCTCTAGCCAGTACCAGGCCTGAAGGGGAGAAAAGAAGGGAATCTAGCTGAGTCAGGGGCTGACTGGTAAAGAGGCAGGAGCTCTCTGTGTGCCTGCCTGAAGGCACCAGATACAATCTGCTTAAGGAAGTCTTCTACCAAGGGGAGTCTGCAGACAAGATCTAAAAGTGGGGAAACTGAACTAGCAGAGCCACACCCCAAACCAAAAGGATTGCAGAGGGAACAGTTCAGGACAACAGGTCATGAACTCTTCTCCCAGCATGGCTGGTAGCAAGACCTATCTGTTTAGAGGCTTTAGTGAATGAGAACTCTGGGCCATGACATGAGGGAAAAGGAGGAGTTTGGGTCCCTCTACAGCCCTAACCAACAATCTAGCCACTAGACTGGCCAGCCACTGAAGCCCTATCACAGTTAGAATGAACTTGATGCAAATGTTTCATATGAAGACTCATCTTCTGACAAAAATATATTTTATTAATCCATGGGCACAAAATAATTGTAGTTCATAAAATAGATGTAGGGAGACTGCAGTTTTTAGAAGAGTGTTTTCTAAGCTGACTCTCCAAGCCAGTGAATGAAAGAAAGTATCAAACAAGGTTGCAGAAAAAAAGCTTACGCACATTTACTCCACAGAATGTTGGGAGAAGGTTCCATTTATTAATGTTCCCATGTTATATTATTGGAGCAGGAAATTTCCCAACTGATAACCAACTTCTTTGGAGAACTTCCTATCTCTGGCATAAAATGGGGTTCCTACTGCCAGGGATTGACCACTCTTATCTATAGAATTATTTCTGTGTTTGCCAGCTTCTGTCACTGCTTCAGTGACTACTTGCAGTTATAACATTGCTGTAGTATTTCTAACCCTCTTTGATGTTTGTACATGTGTGCATGCACTAAATTGTATTTTGACTTCCTCCTCTGGGCTACTGAGATCGATTAAATTCCACATTTGACTGCTCCTAGAGAAGGTCAAGCACTCAGTGAATCAATGAATGGCATCAATTCTAGTTCATTATTGTCTTGGAGATTTATCATGTCAGTGAATGCAGAGTAATTTGTGCATACAGATGACACAAAGTTTAATGAATTTGGTACATTAGTAATTCCTGAAATGTGTCATTGGGGGGTAAGATGCTTTGTCACTTAAGTTTCTGGTTTTCATTTAGCATTTTTATGCTTTGGGTTCTTCAGCCAATCTGTCTACTTCCTTACGGGTTATGCTCACCAATGTTATGGAATGCCACCTGACCACTTAACAATGAAGAGACTCCAGAAATATTTTAAAAGTAGAGAAAAATATATATCAAAGATTTTGTATTCAATCAAATTATATTTCAGGGCTATTTCCTGTGTAAGCGTGTACCAACCTGTTACCATAATTAATTTTTTTCACCTTTACTTTTATTCATTTGTACCTCTGACTATACAGACCCTGAATTAGGAAAGCACTTAAAAACATAAATAACTTTCAGTGTGTGCTCAGGTGTCATTGCCAAGGCTCATATTCCTTAGATTTAGAGTCCATAAACTTTGGGTGTGGCAGTTTGCAAAGTTGCCATCAAGTTCTGAATTGTACATATTGCCATCTATTTTCAGTGTAAGATCAGAACAAAAACTCCAATACGCTGTAAATCCTTTTCAAGTCAATTCAAAGGGGGATAGCTACTGTAAAATAATGTCACTGAATTCCTTATTACATGTCTTACTTCTTTTTTCTTTTCTTTTCTTTTCTTTTCTCATTTTCTTTTGATCTTATTTTATAGTTTTTGTTCCTTTTTTTGTTTTTCTCACTAGCATTCATTGTGTGGCCTTGATGACACTCCTGAGCCAAGAACTGTGGTTGGTATCCTTTATATTTTATGCACTAATATCTGGTTGTTCGATCTTGCTGTATTTTGAGACTCTTCTTTGCAGGGTGCAGAGGACCATAGTGAAGAGTGCCATATCAATGCCTACCTGAAGAAATACAATGACAACCAACACATTTAAACCAAGCTGTCTAAAATGTGATTCCTATGTACTGACTTGGGTACATAAATTTAACCACCCTTCAAAAATGCTGAGCACCTGCTGCTCTTGTTGACTTCAGTGGGTTTGCTAGAGCTTAACACTTCTACAAAAATAGGTTACTTTCCTTGAAGTGTCTGACTATGCTGTTGGTGTCTATCTCTTAACCTCCCGGCATTAAAACCAAAGGCCCACAAATTTTAAAAAGTATTATTTAGTCACTCTCTATCTCTCTTTTCCTCAAACTTTTTACAGCCTGAAAATAAGGGTGCCCTAAAAATTTCAACATTTACACTTTTGCTTAGAGAAAAACCACCTGTGTGCGTCTCAGCAAGACAAAATGAAATTTTACCATGTGGTATAAAGGTTGTAAAGCAAACCAACAAAAGCCCTGCCTTGATCACCCTCACAAGGGAAAGGGGTGAAAGGCAGCTCTTTAGTTCTCTCTTTCTCTGTATTTCATCACCAGTTTGTATGTAAGAGGAGAATGCTACCATTGAGTTGCTTGATCACTTCACATGCCGGTGGCTAGGACGGGACCACCAGTAATCTGAGCATTGACTCTCATCCCAACCCCTCCACAATAAATAAGAGAGTTGAGACAAAGTGAATGGGAATGTAATTTGGTCCATGTGTAGCAGTAGATAGCTTACCTTTCCTCTTTAGCAGGGGCAACCGAGCTGAACTGTGACCCACTGGATTTTTCTTTTTTTTTTTTTTGGCCAGGCTTCATTATCAAACATCTTAATGCATCTATCAGTAGCATTTTGGAATCCTTATCTGTATCTATGGATGATCTCCAAAGATCCAGATACAGGAAGAGAGAGAAACAACAACAGGAAACTTGGAAATGGCAGAGGTGCTTAATGACTTCTTTGTTTTGGTTTTCACCAAGAAGTCTGATGGTGAAGGAATGCCTAACACAGTGAATGCTAGTGGGAAGAGGGTAAGTTTAGAAGATAAAATAAAAAAAGGTGATGATAAAAATCACTTAGAAAAGTTAGATGTCTGCAAGTCACCAGGTTCTGATTAAATGCATCCTAGAATACTCAAGAAACTGATAGAGGAGGTATCTAAGCTTTTAGCTATCATGTTTGAAAAATCTTGGAAGTTGGGATAGATTCCAGAAGACTGGAAAAGGGCAAATATAGTGCCCATCTATAAAAAGGGAAATAAGAACAACCCAGGAAATTACAAACCGGTCAGTTTAACTTCTGTGCCAGGAAAGATAATGGAGCAAGTAATTAAGGAATTCATCTACAAACATCTAGAAGATAATAAGGTATTATGTAACAGCTAGTATTGACGTAAAGAACAAATCATGTCCAACCAATCTGATAGCTTTCTTTGATACGATATCAAGCCTTGTGGGTAAGGGAGAAGTGGTGGATGTGATATAACTAGACTTTAGTAAGGCATTTGACATGGTCTCACATGACCTTATCAGTAAACTAGGGAAATACAACCTAGATGGGGATACTATAAGGTGGGTGCATAACGGGCTGGATAACCATTCTCAGAGAGTAGTTATTAATGATTCACAATCCTACTAGAAGGGCATAATATGTGGGGTTCCGCAGGGGTCTGTTTTGGGACCAATTCTGTTCAATATCTTCATCGACTATTTAGATGATGGCATAGAGAGTACACTTACTAATTTTGCAGATGATACCAAACTAGTAGGGGTTGAAACCACTTTGGAGGAGAGGGTCAAAATTCACAATGATCTGGACAAAGCGGAGAAATGGTCTGAGATAAATAGTATGAAATTCAATAAGGATGCATTAATAGGAGTGTTGTGAGCAAGACACAAAAAGTCATTCTTCCACTCTACTCTGTGCTGATTAGGCCTCAGTTGGAGTATTATATCCAATTCTGGGCACCACATTTCAAGAAAAATGTGGAGAAATTAGAGAAGGTCCAGAGAAGAGCAACAAGAGTGATTAAAGATCTAGAAAACATGAGTTCTGAGGGAAGACTGAAAGAATTGGGCTTATTTAGTTTAGAAAAGAGAAAACTGAGAGGGCACATCATAGCGGTTTTCAAGTATCTGAAAGGATGTGACAAGGAGGAGGAAGAAAAATTGTTCTCCTTGGCCTCTGATGGTAGGACAAGAAGCAATGGGTTTAAATTGCAGCAAGGGAAGTTTAGGACATCAGGAAAAACTTCCTGCCTATCAGGGTGGTTAAACACTGGAATAAATTGCCTAGAGAGGTTGAGGAATCTCTATCTATGGAGATATTTAAAAGCAGGTTAGATAGACATCTATAGGGATGGACTAGACAGTGCTTGATCCTGCCATGAGGGCAGGGGACTGGACTCAGTGACTTCTTGAGGTCCCTTCCAGTTCTAGTGTTCTATTATTCTATTAAATCTTCTGGTATGGAAGTTTTATTTAAGATAATGTACGTATCACAGTTCATAGTTCTGCAATTTCATATGAGCTCTTTCAGAATTCTTGGATGAATGCCATCTGGTCCTCGTGACTTATTACTGTTTAATTTATTAGTCTGTTCCAAAACCATCTCTACTGATACCTGTAATTTGGCACTGTAAGTTTCTAATTGATAGTACACATTAGTCAGATAAACTTAGTGCACTCCTCTCAATGTCTTTGTTTGGCACAAGATTGTGGGGAATCTTCTATCTAATCAAGTCAAGAAATAAAACATTGCTGCATGCAGCAGAAGAGTCTTGGTAGATCCTCGGTCTTGACCCCATTGATGTTAACTGAAAGACTCCATTTTACTTCATTAGGGTTTGGACTGGAGTAGTCTAATAGCTGTAATTCTTTCTTTGGTTAAACAACAACTCTTTTAATAGAGTCAAAGGGGTTGAATTTAGTTCTGTTATGTCAGGAGTCAGATTTCCCTGGTATAGTGTCTGTTTCCAGCATGAAGTCAACCTCGATGACCTCTCGAGGTCCCTTCCAGTCAAGGTGTTCTATGATTCTGTGATTCTATGAACCACATCTTCTGTTCTCTGGCTTATTCTGACTGGTGCTGAGAATCCACTAATCCCATTGAAGTTAATGGAAACTGAATGCTCAGCATGGCTTGCAATCAAAAGACAGGTGGGCACGTTTTTTTTCTTTTCCTGCATCTGGATATTTTGTGAACTCCATTGATGGAAATTGACTTCCTTGGGAGTTGGCAATAGTCAGCATCTTTCAAGTGCAAGGCTTTGATAGCCATGCTTTCACATCACTTTGCAAGTGGGGGGGGGGGGGATGATAATGTAATGGTCCTCCCTGAAATATTACTATCATATTTGGCTTATGTTGAGATATAAGTTTGAACCTGAGCAAGTTCTTCTGCACATTGTGGTACTGGGAACTTTTGTATATTTGTTACTCATTCTAATATTGACTGTTCTCTACTAAGAACTTTTTGACTCTCAATAAGGTCAGTGACTGTCTTTCCATTTTACTAATGGCTCTTCGTTCGGGACCTTAAATCTGTTGAAATACTATATACATTTTGTATTTTACATGTTTCTTAAGTTGTTTATTGATCTTCCCTAAAGTAATAGTACTGATGGACACAATGTATTCAAACACTATTTGTTGGCTTGATGTAAGTGAGCTAGTCTTGCTGAGATGATTAATCAAAAGACCAAAGAAAAATCAAAGCTGAAGTTGAAACACCACCTTTCCAATATTAAACAATGTTATCCTGTTCTAATATTAAACAATGTTATCCACAGAATATATCCTGTGTTCTCCATATAGTTGCTCAGTGTTTTTTCTTGCCTCCCTAGTTGCCCTTGCAGGTGTCCATGAATGCTGGTTGACTGCAAGTAATAAAGCAATAAGGAAGCAGGCTAAAACATCCATGTGGAATTCATCTCATATTGATGAGAGTATAGTCCCATGTTGTGGTGAGGCAAAGAAGTTATTCTTATCCTCTGCCATGGCCCAAGTAAAGTCTTATGGAGAGGAACTGTCAGGAGTAGTAGAGAATCTGTTGGCATGTGGCTTGCCTGAGCCCTGTTTGAGCTGAGTTTTTCAGTCTCAGAGAATGTAAAGGCTAAAAGAAAAAGATCATTTGCATGGGGGAGTGCAAGTAGAGTATTAGAATAAAAGCAACCCCCAAAACATTTTCATTAGGAAAGCTTCATCTGATTTTGTTTAGCCCATTCTGTACTGTAGCTAGTCACAAAATGTTGAACATTTTTTTCCCCAAAAAATAACGAAAAAGCAACATTTCAAATTTTAGAAAATGCTAGTAAAATACAACAATTTTAATAAAAAATTAAAAAGTCACCAAATATGTATTGCAATTTTGAAAATTTAAAAAAAGTATTGGTCAATTCTAGTTAGGTCTAGGCCTGATCTGCACATAATTTGTGTAGCAGTAAAATTATGCCAGTTAGAGGGGTTGAGTTATTTTTTAACTGCTGTAGTAATACTGGTACAGTCTCTAGTGTGGATACATTCATAGTGGTATAAAGATGCGTTATATAGGTATTACTTATTCCCCTTCCCATACAGGAATAAGCTATACTGATATAAGCACATTTATAATAATGATATTACATCTGCCCTAGAGAAGTTGTTCCACTTTAACTATATTGATATAGGAATATAACCTTTGTGTGTTAGGCAAATCTTATTTATATTAACAGAACTACAACCTGTTAACTAGGCCACGTGGGAAGCTGCCCTACCACCTTACCCTCAAGGTGCACCTTTTATCCCTCCTGTCCCAGGACTGACTGGTTTTGGCCCACCTGACCCGGGACTAGAACCCATGAACCCAAATGCCCTATCCCCTAGGGCATGCAGTAACCTGCCCCACATCTTCCCGTCAGGGCACCCCTTATCCCTCTGGCCCCAGGGCCAACCGGTTTTGGCCCACCTGACCCAGGACTCTTTTTAGCAGGACTCTTGCCCTCATGCTGAAGGCAAGCAGGGAAGATTGGAGTCTATTTGAAATAAACTGCGCAACTTGAGCTATGTCAATTGCATAGCTTAAGCCAAACTAGCTTACTTCTGCTTTTGGTGCTGTCTACACAGCAGGAAGTTGGAAAAAGAGCACTCTTCTTTTGACTTCCCTTACTCCTCATGAAATGAGGTTTACAGGAGTTAGAGTAAGAAGTCCTCCAGCTTGACATTAGTTTGAAATAATGGCTTGATGTGTAGGTGCCCATTTTGTCATTTTGAAATGTCAGTTATTCCAAAATAATGCTGCTGTATAGAGATGCCCTTAGAGATGCCAATCTTTGATGCTTTCTTTTGTGAAGACAGGAGGGCATCTATTTTTTATAAAGTTGTTGTGATGTTTGGATGCTTGGGATTGGGTGCCAACACACATTTCTAAACAAAGCGGATTTAACTTATGATGTTCTCTTTATCTTGTAGGATATTAAAAGAGCCTATGGAGTGAACAACTGAATCCACGTGCAAAAAACAGAAAATATTTATTTGAGCAGCTTTAAATTGGTGCATTTTATCATGAAACAGTTTGCATAATATTTCAAGCTGCAAGATATTTGAATTAAAATTAGGAATTTTATAAAGATATAGTTTCAAACTGGAATAATTTGATAAGGAACAGCACACCATGAACATGAAGAAACTCTATACAGAATTTACAAGAAAAAATATCAAACACTAAGAAAAAATATCAAGTGCAATTACTGGCTGCTTTGTGAACTACTATCTACCAAATGGTTTATTATAAATACCATGTGCTTTGTATCTCCATATTGCATGCTTTCAACAAAGGTAGTTTGCATTTCACAGACAAAATAAAGAAGCTCCTTTTTAATATACATATATAAAAGTTAAATGCTGACAATAAATGTCAGTAAATATCTGGGGGTGGGGGGACACTACAAAATTGGAAAAGGAGATTTAGAAACATACCGTGGTAAAATTCACATTACATTGTTAGCATCTGAAACTACACAAATAAGGGAAAAAGAGGAAATTACTATTTAGAGAAAACAACTGAATAGATAAAGTGGAGCGCTCAGAAGTTAGTGGTTGACTGAGACACAGAGAGGTAAATATGCAGGAATAGAAGGAGCTAGATTCACTGGATTAAGTGAAAGGGGAGAAGTTGCATCAGATAATCAAATATTTGAATGTCACTTGAAAATATTAGCAAATACCTAAAAGTATTTCATTGGAAGCATCCATGACTTTGAGATGAAAAGAAGCTTAGGAGAGCACAATATATGACTCTGCACAAATATAGCACAGTAAAAGATATCTTAAAGTGTAAAAGGAGATTGATTTAAGATTTCAGCATAGGAATAGGCAAGTAGAGGAACAGAGTAGTAAAAGAAATATCTGAATGAGAGTACAAAGAGAAACACAGTGGGCTTCTGGGTGAAATAAAGGGCAAAGTATAACCACAAAGAAATAAACATGACATTATCCCCAATCAACAGAGTTAGATAAAAACAAATGCTGACACTGATCATTTGAACTAGCCAACAAAACATATGATGAAAAATAATCGGATATGGGGACAGTTGTTAAAGGTGGACAGTGATTAGAGCACCAACAGAGATCCTAGTATCAAAAGAAGGAAAATAAATCATGGTGAATTATTTTAGAACTGGAAAAACAATATCAGGAAATGGAGGTAGTTCTCACTGTTTCTAGCAAGATGAATATAATAATGACAAAAACAGATGGAAAGGTATATGATGGGAGCTGGTTACTGGATGTGAAAGAATAGAAGCCTCTGAGTAGGAGGAGCCACCTAGATATTGGTTGGGCTATAAAATAAGACAGAGAACTTAAGACTTCAAATAAAGATATCAGGATTAGCTGCAGAAGAAATTTTGAAACGCTAAGAGGCTAACTCACCGTTACACAAGAACAGTTGGTTTATGTGGGGAGCTAAACAGAAGGAAGATGATTTGTTCTAATGTCACAGAGCACAACTGAATTTATATAGAATCAAGCAAGTCAAATGCATGATCAAATAGGCTGGAAAATTCTGAATACCCGCTCCCCAAAAGAATGCATGAATCACATAGAAACTGGAGCGCTTAGAGAATTTGTCTTTTTAAAAAATAGAGAAATTTCATATCAATTAAGACTTCATCAGTGCATGATAGAACTTAGAAAGAAGACATCTTCACTGCAAAAAGTGCATTTTATGCAGAAAATGAACAGAAACTCTGACTGTTTTTCACCACTTTGGAAATAAAACTAAAAGCACAAGAACAAAACTGTCACTCAGCATTTGGTTAGGCAAGTGCTCTGGAAGGACAAGAGATAGTCTCATTGCAAAGCAGCGAAAGTATAGAACAGGTTTGTTTTTATAACTTTTAATTCTTTTGTTTGAATCAATGTGTTAAATTTTGCAGCAGTCGAATCTGCTGATACAGGTGGAATTTTCCTCCTGGAGTTTGTGGCATTTTCTTGTCTTATTGCTGGGCTGACAGGATTCATGGTTTTTGAAGTTCATTCAAGTATGCCAAGGCAAAAATGCATTACATTCTCCGTGATAAGGTCTGAAGCACATGGGTGGGAAGCTGGTAATTCTACTGTAATTATCCTGTACTGTAATTCTCCTGCAGATAAAAGGCTTGAATCCACACTTAGTACCTTTGCAAGGTGCTTATTGTCCTCAGTTTGCATGATTGAGCTAAAGTGAGAACTTGCAATCCCACATACACTACATTCATATTAAAAAATTAAAAGAGGAAGAAAGATCACATTCCTATCTACTACAGTCACAAAGCATATCAATGTTATACACCTGGAATCTATACACCTAGAATCTATTAAATCTATTTCTAGTGACCACAGAAATCCAGAGGCGGACACTCTCCCAAAGACCCCTTGGTGGTCGGTGCCAGAACCATCCAGCCCCGCCCACAGGAAACTGAAAGGTGGGACTGGAGGTATAAAGAGAGCAGCTCCAAGCTCAGTTGAAGCTTGGCTAGTGAGTAGGGCAGAGGCTCTTCCCCAGGCCCAGCAAAGAAAGGCCCTGCCCTGCTCAGCAGCCGAGCTTCAACTGAGCTTGGAGCTCCTTTCTCTGTACCTCCGTCCCCGCCTTTCTGTTCCCTGTGGTCAGGACTAGGTGGTTCAGGCACTGCCCACTAAGGGATCTTTGAGAGAGTTTCCTCCTCTGGGTCAGCGGGAGGCCACACTGACTCACTACAGGCTGTTACATTCTGACTCCGTCGAACAAAGCGTTTGAGCAGTTGCTTAACATGAATTGCAAAAGTAGTTCTGTTGTACCTAATAGAACCACTCAGGTACCTAAAGTTCAAGCAGTTGCTTTAGTACTTTGATGGATTGGGATTGGACTTTTCAGCACCTTACAGGACCAAGGCATGAATGTTTTAAGCTTACTGGTGCTTTGTTTTAGCCAGACACTTCATGATGCTATGTCTATTTAAATATGTTGCATCTGATTTTATTATATTCATATTGCTAAATAGAAATTCAGCTAACAACAAGAACATTTAATGGAATTATGTGGATGGAAACAAATGCATAGATTTTTACATTGATTATTTTTCACAATACATGATATACTGTATTAGGAACTTTTTACTCATTGTTTTCATGTTGCCATTTGAGTTACATTTCATGGCAGGACACTAAGGGACAAATTGAAAAGGTTCTTAATTTGGCTTTCATTTATGAATATATAATCACTAGTGTGCATAGGTCCATTACTGGCATTTATTATATGTTTCTATTATAGGAACATTGTCAGTTATACCTATCCAAACTTATCAAAGGCAATGGAATTGCGCAGAAGTCACTTATGGGCCTATGCTGAAGACAAAATGCATAAATAAGGATATAATATGACCTGAAGAACTTGTAGTACTATTCTTGATGATGATGAAGTAAAAAATGAAGCTTAACTTTCAAAGCCCAGGTTGGTTTTGCAGGTCTAGCAGTTAGAAAGTAAACAGACAAACACCCTTTTACTAATAAACCTGGCACATTTCAAAAGGAAATCATTATGATGCAGTAAACATAGAAAGCCATGATGCAAATGTTAACATTTCTCAGACTGTAACCACACTTTGAGCAATATGTAAGGTAATTGTCTTTGTAGATTAAGATGCTGATCCTGCCTGTTACAATGTGCAAAGGACCCTGTATGCCTGTATGGAACCCCACTGATGTTAGTGGGCGCCTGTGTTGGGTGCAGGAACATTTACAATCTACTTGGAGTAGGGCCTATATTTAGACTATAAACTCTTCTGGGTTGGGGCCATCTCTTTGTTTATATGTTTGTACAGTGTTTAGCACAATAACACTCCGCCTTCTAGGCAATATGGCTCTACAGTATAAATAATATATTTTCAAAACATTATATCCAAAATATGGAGTTAAAATCCTTTTAATAAGTGGAATTTTTATCTGCGTCATCTCATAGAATCTTGAAAACATTCTCCTATAGACTTTTACCTGCAAGCAAGTCTTTCTTGTTTTCCTTTCATTGTGAATACATTTTTTTAAGCTACAAGATACCTCCAAATACTTCAGCCAGTGTTTCTCTGGTTGCATATGAGTCACTTTATCTCTGTTGTAACATTTTGTGTTTAGAAAATACTTCGGGACATAATTATATAAAGGCTGAAGTAGAAATACATATTTGCCCTGCTCACTTTTAACTATCAATTGAAGATTCTGAATGTTTCTTGTAAATATTCAGAATTTGCCTTTTGATCAATAAATGCCTCTTCTGCTTGCTCTCTGTTTTCTGCATTCAGACAATCCAAAGAATGACACAGTTGTGCTAGGAGTGGAAGAGCCGTTTTATACCCATAAAAGTAATTCATATTGTCTTTCTCTGTGCTTACCAGAAAATCATGTCCATTTCGATCTCAGGTGTGATGCATAATTCCTCCATGAATTTGACTCATAATATCTTGTATTCAGTTCTCTTCTGCTGTAAACTGAAACTTCCTTCATACATTTTGGATGACTTTTGTGCTAATGAAATGTATGTGGTTCTCTCATGAATAATAAACATGTTCGGTATCTACAAAAGACATTCATCTAAGCTTCACAGAAGCTAAGGAGAGCACTTAAACACCTTCAGAAAAAAAATAAACATTCAGATTGCATTACATACAGTGAAACTTAAAAAGTATATTTTTTTAATCATGGAACCTTCATCTGAAAGAGGGCAAGAATTTTGTTATTGTATTAGAGCACCCAGTAATGAAGGATTTGATGTTCTGAATCTTAATGTTAAAATTGATACTTCCTGGATTTTCCAGGATTTAGAAGATGTAGAGCATGGAAGTACGAAGGAGTGTCAAAGGGAACTAAGCAATGCTGAAGCGGAGACCTTGAACCTCAGAATAAAACAGCTGGAAAAGTCAGAGCGAAACCTGAAAGAAATTTTAGAGGAGTATGCAAACTCAAATTCTGCACTAAGAAACAGGTACATGGATTTTTTTTCATTTTAGATTTTCAAAGTATGTAAAATATGTGTTTTTCTATCTGTCTTCAAAATATAGCTGAACAATTCTAGAACAAATTAAAATATGGATTGCAGAGTGACTGAATTGTCAAAGTCTCATTTTATTACATAATTGATAGATTTAAGTCCACTGGAATTATTTGAATAGCCTCATACTATAGTTTATATTTCTTCCTCTTTTTGAAAGTGAAAGGTTAATTTTGGGATAAAAAATGGTTCATGTAAATTATGCACATTTGTAATTGTGCTTTAGCATTGTCAGACAATATGAGTGTTTCAGAAACTAGATAAAATTTAGTCTGCTTGTCCTAAGTAACAGTGTTGCTGAAACTAATGACTCCATTAAGCACCAGCTGCGCTGCATGAATAGTTCTTGATGTATGACAATATATTATTTAAAGTAAAGCTAGATGAAGTAGAAATATATACATAGATTCAAAGACAATTGAATATATCAATATATTTTATTCATTTTTTTGACAACTCTTTTGGCCTATACAACACAATCTGTGGCCTGCAGATCTCAGAGTGCACAGAGAAATCTAGAGAAGAGGAAGATTTTGTGAGATTGTTTGAAAAGCGACTGTATAATTATTTTAAACATATGCTTGCTGGAAGAAGTGGGATATCCAAGAGAAACTTGAATAAGAAGAGTTTGGTGACTTGGCATACTAGATGAGAGAGAACCTTTCACACAGTATGGTATATAGTATATAGTCCATAGAGAGGACCTTTCGCACAGTATATAGTATGGTATAAGTGTATGGATATGGGATTGAGAAGAGGAGAGGAATGGGACGTCATTGCGGGACACCATAACAAGGAGTCAAGGTTTAAGGCAGAACCAGGCTGGAAGGTGAGGTGAGTATTTGTAAAGCTGATGAAAAGGAAGCTATGTTGTTTAAGACAGGAGATAAGAGACTAGAAAAAACATTTTTTCCACAAGGGACGGAGATTTGAATTTGAGAAGTGTTTAGAATGTGGAGATTTGATATGTCCTGGATGAGAGGGAGAAGTCTAAATTGGCTCCCACATTGTGATTCTTCATTACAAAGTGATTACTAACAAGGAAACAAACATATTGTGTGCTAAATCTAAGCTTTATTGCCAAAACCCAAAGTAGAAGGGTTTTATACATAGCGGTGTCTGATGTTGAAAGATGCCCTATTAGAAATGTTACAGGGAGCTATGTTTGCATTAAGCCAGCATAACTCATGGTGGGGTACTTAACTGGTTTTCTAAATAGGAGGAGTATATGATGTTACTGTTGCTGATGGTAACATTTATCTTATCCAATTTATCTAACATTAACTTATCATTTATCTAACATTAACTTATCCAATAAGTTTCTGGACTGCATTGGAGACAACTTTCTGTTTCAGAAGGTTGAAAAACCTACCAGAGGAGAAGCTGTTCTGGATTTGGTTTTAACAAATAGGGAGGAACTAGTTGAGAACTTGAAAGTGGAAGACAGTATAGGGGACAGTGATCATGAAATAATAGAGTTCATGATCTTAAGGAAAGGTAGAAGGGAGACCAGCACAATTGAGGTTATGGATTTCAGGAAGGCAGATTTTGATAAGCTCAGAGAACTTGTAGGTAAGGTCCCATGGGAAGCAAGACTGAAGGGAAAAACAACTGAGGAGAGTTGGAAGTATTTCAAAGGGACGTTGTTAAGGGCCCAAAAGCAAACAATTCCGCTGTGTAGGAAAGATAGAAAATATGGCAAAAGACCAGCTTGGCTTAACAAGGAGATCTTGCATGATCTCAAAATAAAAAAGGAGTCATATAAAAAATGGAAACTAGGACAACTAACAAAGGATGAATATAGGCAAGCAACACGGGAATGCAGGGGCAAGATTAGAAAGGCAAAGGCACAAAATGAGATCAAACTAGCTACAGGCATAAAGGGAAACAAGAAGACCTTTTATAAATACATTAAAAGCAAGAGGAAGACCAAGGACAGGGTAGGCCCACTGCTTAGTGAGGAGGGAGAAGCAGTAACAGGGAACTTGGAAATGGCGGAGATGCTCAATGACTTCTTTGTTTCGGTCTTCACCGAGAAGTCTGGAGGTGTGCCTAACGTAGTGAATACAAGCAGAGAGAGGGTAAGTTTAGAAGATAGGATACACAAAGAACAAGTTAAAAATCACTTAGGAAAGTTAGATGTCAGCAAGTCACCAGGTCCTGATGAAATGCATCCCAGGATACTCAAGGAGCTGATAGAGGAGGTATCTGAGCCTTTAGCTATGATCTTTGAAAAATCATGGCAGACAGGGGAGATTCCAGAAGACTGGAAAAGGGCAAATATTGTGCCCATCTATAAAAAGGGGAATAAGAACAACCCAGGAAATTATAGACCGGTCAGTTTAACGTCTGTCCCAGGGAAGATAATGGAGCAGGTAATTAAGGAAATCATATGCAAACACTTGGAAGGTAATAAAGTGATAGGGAATAGCCAGCATGGGTTTGTGAAGAACAAGTCATGCCAAACTAATCTGATAGCTTTCTTTGATAGGATAACGAGCCTTGTGGATAAGGGAGAAGCGGTGGATGTCATATACCTAGACTTTAGTAAGGCATTTGATACGGTCTCGCATGATATTCTTATTGATAAACTAGGCAAATATAACTTAGATAGGGCCACGATAAGGTGGGTGCATAATTGGCTGGATAACCGTAGTCAGAGAGTTGTTGTTAACGGTTCTAAATCCTGCTGGAAAGGGATAACAAGTGGAGTTCCTCAAGGGTCTGTTTTGGGACCCGTACTGTTCAATATCTTCATCAATGATGTAGATATTGGGATAGAGAGTACTCTTATTAAGTTTGCAGATGATACCAAACTGGGTGGGGTTGCGACTTCTTTGGAGGATAGGGACATAATTCAAAATGACCTTAGCAAGTTAGAGAAATGGTCGGAGGTAAACAGGATGAGGTTTAATAAAGAGAAATGCAAAGTGCTCCACTTAGGAAGGAACAATCAGTTCCATACATACAAGATGGGAAGCGACTGTCTAGGAAGGAGCATGGCGGAAAGGGATCTAGGGGTCATAGTGGACCACAAGTTGAATATGAGTCAACAGTGTGATGCTGTTGCAAAAAAAGCAAATATGATTCTAGGTTGTATTAACAGGTGTGTTGTAAGCAAAACTCGTGAAGTCATTCTGCCGCTCTACTCTGCGCTAGTTAGGCCTCAGCTGGAGTACTGTGTCCAGTTCTGGGCGCCACATTTCAAGAAAGATGTGGAGAAATTGGAAAGGGTACAGAGAAGAGCGACAAGAATGATTAAAGGTCTAGAGAACATGACCTATGAAGCCAGGCTTCATGAACTGGGCTTGTTTAGTTTGGAAAAAAGAAGATTAAGGGGGGACATGATAGCGGTTTTCAAATATCTAAAAGGGTGTCACAAGGAGGAAGGCGAAAATTTGTTCCTCTTGGTTTCTGAGGACAGGACATGGAGTAATGGGCTTAAAGTGCAGCAGGGGAGGTTTAGATTGGACATTAGGAAAACATTCCTAACTGTCAGGGTGGTCAAATATTGGAATAAATTGCCAAGGGAGGTGGTGGAATCTCCCTCTCTGGAGATATTTAAGAACAGGTTAGATAGACATCTGTCAGGGATGGTGTAGACGGAGCTTGATCCTGCCTTGAGGGCGGGGGGCTGGACTCGATGACCTCTCGAGGTCCCTTCCAGTCCTATTATTCTATGATTCTATGATTCTATGATTTATGTTCACTGGTCTAGCAGAATCCTGTTCTCAGCTAACCACAGCCCTTTTGACTACTAAGTGTGCCCCACTATGTTAGGTGTTCACTTTGTAAACCACAATAAACTACCATAAACCACTAATGAAATGCTTCTATTTGCTTATCTTTTTCCTCATTGTGCGCCCCTGCATCCAAGAGAAAGATAGGAATGTATACATTTACGATAAAGTATTGCCCATAAAGGCCATTGAGAGTTTCCAGTGAAATGTGCTACACTCATAGAAACACTTCATAAGTAATTGATAATTCGTTATCAGTGAACAGTTATGAGTTATTGTGTATCACTGTAGTATTCATTACTGTTACTGCGGAGAGGGAAAAGAGTGTAAATAGAGAACAGATGATAGATTATTTCTCTAGAAACAATATTGTGGTGTATTGATTCGGAAGCCATCCTGTGTTTCAATACTGTAGAGCAAAGGAGCTGCAGCTGTCACAGAAGAAACTTTTCGAAACAGTCGACCAACTGAATGCAAAACTACTGCAGATAGAAAACGCAAACCTACGTGTTAAAGGGAAGCTCCGAAATGTTCAGGGGGAGCTGACAGATTTGGTAAGTTGGGTATATTGTTTAAATGAAATGTTTTAGCTTATCTTCATGCAGATGACTTGCAAATCAATATATCCACCACTAAATTGTCTCTCTCCATCTGTTCTTGTAGCTTGGCCTGTCTGGCTGGCATGTCCTCGATCATTTGTCATCTTAAACTGGATATAAATGGAGCAGAGCTCCTTCCACTTCCCCTCTTTTCTGTCACTGCTGTCACCACCATCATCCCATCACTTATGTTTACAATCTCAGCGGTATTTTTGATTCCTCCTTCTCCCTTGCCCCAGATGTCCAGGCCAGCATCTTCTTTCTCCACAGGTCCATCCTGCTTTTTCCAGTCTCATAACTAAATTTCCTGATTATATTAGCTCCTCAGTATATCCAAATCTGCAGTAAAGTAGTCTGAGTTAAAGTTGCATGGCTTGTTTTTTCTCTCTTAGGCCTAAAGTCAGCGGTATTTTTGATTCCTCCTTCTCCCTTGCCCCAGATGTCCAGGCCAGCATCTTCTTTCTCCACAGGTCCATCCTGCTTTTTCCAGTCTCATAACTAAATTTCCTGATTATATTAGCTCCTCAGTATATCCAAATCTGCAGTAAAGTAGTCTGAGTTAAAGTTGCATGGCTTGTTTTTTCTCTCTTAGGCCTAAAG